GGCGCACGGTAGGTGCTCACCTGGTCTCATCCAGCCCCGTGCCTCCTGATACCTGTGGAAAGCTCAGACACCTGTGGGGACACACAGAGGGCACCTGCATGCCAAGGCTGTCCTCTGTGGCCCTGCAGGTCGGTAGGCTCAGGGTCCAGAGTGGGCGATGTGTGTGTGTAGGAAGCTTTGATCCCTGCTTCTCTCCCAGGGAGAGCAGCGAGTGAGGTGAGTTCCCACCCAGGGAAGGGGTGTGGGAGGAGGAAGTGGGCCTGGCTCCCTGTTTAGCTTCTTGCTGCCCTTCTCAGCACAGGGACACGGTCCTGGGCACTAGCAGCCATGGCACTGCTGCCCATTCTGCTCCGAGGCCCTCACACCCAGAAGGGAATGGCACCTTCTATGGGATTCTGTGTCTTCTCCACAGCCCTGTAAGCAGATAGGAGACTGAGGCCTGCGGGAGCTGCTCCTTTTCCAGGTCCCTCAGCCAGAAGGACGTGGCCTTAGCCTCGGGGCTCCTGACTGCTCCTTTCTAGGGCGGACAACAGCGGGTACCAGCTCCCCACCAAGGCTCTGAGGGAGGCCTGCAGAGCAGGGCTGATCAAAGTGTTTCCAGGGCAAAGCCCAGCGTGCAGGTTGCCCTGATTCGTGGTCTCCCCTGGGTGCACCTGAAGAATGCTCCCTCCTCAGGGACCAAGGGCAGAAGAGGAAGAGGATGGGGCTGGGAGTGGTGGTGGTGGTGGGCGGGGGAGTGAGGGGCAAAAGAGATCTCCAAAAGAGGAGGGAGGCCCAAGGTCTCCTGGGAGGAGCTGCCCCAATGCAGGCCCACAGCGGGGTGGACCAGGAGAGCTGCTTGTCTCCTGCCCTGCAGGGGGGCATCTGGTCCCCATTCCCAGAGCTGGGCTGTGGGGGTCCAGCTGCTAGCAGCACCAAAGTTCTGGGATGGGTTCCTCTCCACACGCAGCAGTGAGGCTCGGCTTCCTGCCGCCTGCACCCCTGCGGTATTTGTAGCAGAGGCCCCTGGCTCTTTGCAGCCGGGAAGGAGCCCAGGGGGGACTAGTGACTGGTTAACACAAGGAGTCCCAGCTCCTTCCCAGACCTCCCGAGCCAGAAAGCTGTTGTTGAGCATTTTTGTTATAAAAATTATGTTTAATGAGCACCGCTGTAGCTAAATCTCTCACAGGCCTTAAATAAATGCTTAGAAGAGGAATTTTTTTTTTTTTTAATTTTCTTGTACATCCTCACTAGAGGATATTTTTCCCATTGATTTTTAGAGAGAGTGGGAGGGAGAGAGAGAGAAAGAAAGAGAGATCAATGTGAGACAGATGCATCGACTGGTTGCCTCTTGCACATGCCCTGACCTAGGTCAGGGCCCCGGGACCAAACCAGTGATCCAGGTGCATGCCTTTGAGCAGGTATTGAACTCGAGGCCCTTTGGTGCGAGGCCGACACTAACTATTGAGCACACCAGCCAGGGTGGAATTTCTAATTAAGGATTAGAAACATTTCAAAAAAACACATATTTTTGGAGAGGAAGAGATAGAAACATCAGTGATGAGAGAGATTCATCAATTGGTTGCCTCCTGCAAGCCACCCACTGGGGATTGAGCCCAACACCTGGGCATGAGTCCTGACCAGGAATCAAACCCTGACCTCCTGGTTCATAGGTCAACACTCAACCACTGAGACACCCTGGCTGGACAAGGATTAGGAACATTTTATGCCAAGCTATGCCCCAGAAATATTGGGCTAGACTCCAAGGAGGAGTCATTATGGGATGCTGGGCATTTTATTTTGGGGACATAGATGACTGGGCTACTACGGAGAGGCCTGAGCTGTCAGATAGCAAGAGGACTCAGGGTGGGTGTGGCTACAGGGTGGGAGGAAGTGGGGAGGTAAATGCAAGGGTGCTGCTGGGACTTGGAGGGAGGCAGGGACAGCTTCCACTTTGCCTGAGGTGGCACTCACCCTGTCGGTCCAGGCTGGTGCTGGTGGCACACCCAGGGTGCCCACGACTGTGATGGCATGGCCATACTTTTGTTGACTGCAGGTCAGGTGAGCTGAATGAGTTCCATCCACAGCAGTCACTCTGCAGCCCTGTGGGCAGTTGGCCGGCCAGCCCCAGGGGCGTTGAGGGCTGACTGGCCCTGGATCTGGCTGGTTGGCTGCCACCCTGCACATCCTAATCACTGGTCATTCTGGTCGTTCCACTGGTTTGGTTGCTGGGCTTTTATATATATAGATTACCACAATACAAGAAATGAAGCATGATCCCACTGACCCCCACGCCCAAGACTCCCTTGCAATTGGTTTGGGTGTTGCTTAAAGGACTCAGAGGAAGTGGGACCCTGGATAGAAGGTGAGGCTTGAGGAGAAGGGGTTTGAGTCCTGACTCTGCCATTGTGTGTTTTGGCATGGCAGGGAGCCCCTGACTGCAGGTCCTGAACAATGGGGTGAGGGTTAGTGTGACAGCCAGCACCTGCTGGTGTTGAGAACACTGCCCAGAGCCCAGCAGGCATTTCAGAAGAGGGGGTGGAGCCACTGGAGCTCCAGGTCCTTCTACAAGAGACAGGGCTCCTAGGGCAACGTCAGAGCCAGGACCAGGCGTGTCACCTCTGGTCAGCCCATTGAACCCCTCAGTGCAAAGGTGCTGATGATAGTGCACCCCCACTGCAGGTATCACCTGGAAGCCTCAAAAATCTCTGTTCAGGCCATACCCAGACCAATTGCAGGGGAGTCTCAGGCGTGGGGGTGAGTGGGACCATGCTTCATTTCTTGTATTGTGGTACTCTCTATATATAAATGCCCAGCGACTGAACCGGTGGAACGAGCAGAACTACCAGTGGTTATGATGTTCACTGTGGCAGCCAACCAGCCAGACCCAGGGCCAATCAGCCCTCAACACCCCAACTGGGGGTGGGGCTGGCCGGCCAACTGCCCCTCCCCTTCGCCGGCCTGGCCCAATGGGCCTCCATTATGATGGGCTGGCCATACCCCAGCTGTGCATGAAATTGTGCACCAGGCCTCTAGTATATACATAGTCAACATTACCACCTTAACCTTTTAAAAGGTATATTCACATTGTAGTGTAACCAATCTTCAGAACTTGATTATCTTCCCACCCTGAAACTGTCCATTAAACTCATTCTCCACCCCTCACCCCCCAGTCCCAAGCACCCACCCTTCTACTTTGTCTCCATGAATCTGACTATGTTAAAACAAGTATTTAAATAGAATCATACAGTGTTTGCCCTTTTTGTGACTGGCTTTTTTCACTCAGTATAATGACCTCAGGCTCATCCGTGTTGAAGCCTGTGTCAGAATGTCCTTCTGTTTCAAGACCGAGTAATATTCCATTGCCTGGGCAGACCACACTCGATCCATTCACGCCCTGCTGAATGCTTGGGTTGTTTCCAGGCTCCGTGTTTTGAAAACTCCCATGTGCTTCTGTGTGCGGTTCTGGTTCCCAGCACCATGGGCGTCACCTGGCCCTAGTGCCAAGGGTGCTCTCTGCTGTTATCAAGTCCAAACAGTGCTTCAGGAAGTCCCCTTCCTCAACACACACCGGGAGGGCTGCCAAGTTTGCCGCAGGTGGGCCAGTCTCAGCAAGGGACACCAGCTCTCATCTTTGCGGCTCCCGGTACTTCAGCCCGGCCCTGTTATTACAACACAAGAAGGGCCAGCGGGTCACATACACAGTGTTGGGGAGGGAGAGGGCGGCCTCACACTCATCAGTTACCAGCTGTACCTCTCCCACTTCACCACTCAAACCTGACCCTGTGCGCCCTCCTGGCATCCACTGAGGCCCTCCTGCCCCTTCCGCAGCAGCCTCCTCTCTAAGCCAGTGGGGAACACGGACGGAGCCAAGGGAACCCACGCTAAAGCACCGACTCAATGCGCATGATTTGACAGAGGTTCGTGGAAGGCATTTTTGGGGGACATTCATCGAATACCATGTTAACCTAAGCCCAGCGCGGTGGTAACCCTCCAACTAAGCCTGCTGGGAGGACTGCACCTTCGCATCCGCGCGCTCCGGGACTGCCCCGAGCCCACGGCTGGGCGCGGGGACACAGTGGAGCAGGGCCGCTGCTGCCCGGTGCAGGCCTCCCCGCACCCGCACCCACACTCCCGGGGCCCTCCCCTCCGCGGGGCTAAGGCGGGGCTCGAACCCGCCTCAGGACCCACCCGAGGCCCCGCCCACACCCTCCGGGCGGGGGGGACGGGCGCGACCAACCGCAGTTCTCAGGGCCTCGGGAGTTAGGCCCCGCCCCCTGCGAGCGTGCTTTCCCAGACTCCTCTGCGTGCGGTGAAGGCAGAGCGCAGGCTCTCCCTGCGGCCGGGCAGCGAGGCGGGACGCGGAGGCCTCGGGAGCCGGTGCGGGCGGGGCGCGGTCGTCCGAAATTGTAAACCGGACGCGACCTACCTGCCCGCGGCGCCGGAAGTGGTCGCCGCCGCGCTGGTTCGGCCGGCGGGGCTCGCCGGGGCCGGGAAGGCGGGCCGCGGACGGGCCGAAGGTCGGAGCGCCCATGGCGGAGGGCGGCGGCCCCGACGGGCGGGCCGGGCCCGGGCCCGCAGGTAACGTGCGGGCAGCGGGGTGAGGGCAGGCCCCTGCGACCCCTCGCTCCTCGGCCCGGCGGGTGCAGCCCCCGCGCCGGACGCCCTTTCCCAGGGAACTGGCATCTCGAACTGCCTGCCCGTTAGGACCCCGACTGTGCGCACAGTGGCCACCTTCCAGCTCCGAGGGCACCTGCCAGGGAAGACCCAGAGCCGGCCCCGCGGCGGCTGGTGCCTTTTCTTGGCCATGCCACCCGCGCACAGTGGTGACGCCTTCGCGGCGAGCTCTTGGTGCCCACGTCCAGAGGAGGCAGCCCTGTCATGCGTGGGTTTAGGCAGCTGGGAGGACTCACGCCCACCACTCAATAGCCATCTGGCTTAGGGTCTCTCCCTGAAATAGTCCTGCTGTGGCCATGTGAACCGGCAGGGGCAGTGCGTCATTCGCAGGTGTCCAGGACAGCTGCCCTCTGCACCTGCGGCGGGATCCCCTCCTCGCCTGTTGTCTGAACTTGCCCTGTGTACCAGCCGCTTTTGTGTGCTCCGGACTTCACATGCTCATATGTGTCTTTGGAGAGAGACCTCCTCCAAAGAGCTTATCAGCCCTTAGTAATAAACAAGAACCTTGCTACGGTTACTCATAGGCGTGCCATGATTTAAGATAGAGTGTTGCCTTGGAGACCAGAGCAAGTAGCACTTTGCATTCCTCCCTTCCACCCTCCCCCCTGCAAACATTCACCGGGGGCCCAGTATTGGCGGCACCTTGCTGGAGCTGGGACACCCCAATGAACAAGAACAAGTCAGGCAAGACCCCTTCTGCTCTGGGCTTTGGTCAGTATTGGCTTTGACCCCTCGGGACAGCCAGGACCTTAGGGCCTGGAATGTCATTTCCTGTGAGGGTGAGGGACGGAATGAGAGGTGTTCAGTTGGGAAGAGAGGAGGACTGACAGCCGCTCCCCAGTGGAGAGAGGAGTGTTGTGGAAGGAAGGTTGGCGCTGTCCTTACACACAGGGGCTTGTATACAGAAGGCATGCAAAAGAGGTTTGACTGGACTATAAAAAGCATCTTTAGCACTGGATAAAGCCTGCCTGTGGAGGGGTGTGCTGTACAGCTGTGCTTGGCCCCACGCTGGCATGGTGGGGACGTGAGTGCAGGCAGCCTGAGGTCCTCACCCTTCTTCCTGCCTGGCTGTGTAATTGTTTTCAAAAGTCTTGTTTGACTTAGGACCTTCTATATGAAGTAGCTTTGGCTCACCATCCCCCATCTCACCAATGTCTTTAGAATTATTATTCTCATCAGGTTTGGTGTCAGGAATGTGCTACTTCTGTTAAGGGAAGCTTTCTGTATTTTTCTGTGCTCTGGAAGTTTCTGGAGCGTGGGAACGATTCGTTCTCGAGGGAAAGGGATTGCTGTCGATGGCGCCCATTTTGGTTGGCGTGGGCAGGGTTTCCCGGAGCTGACAGGAGCTCCTCTCTTCAGTGCAGGTCCTAATCTGAAGGAGTGGCTGAGGGAGCAGTTTTGTGACCACCCGCTGGAGCACTGTGAGGACACGAGGCTCCATGACGCCGCCTACGTGGGGGACCTCCAGACCCTCAGGAGCCTGTTGCAGGAGGAGAGCTACCGCAGGTGGGCGTCGCTGTCAGGGGGCTGCCCCGGACTTAGGCCCTGTGGGTTTGCACGAAACCGAGGCTCACAACCCAGGGAGGCCCACTGTCTGGTTGCAGGTGAAGAGCTGATGCTCCCCCATATTAGAGGAAAGGGAACAAAAGAGATGGAGGAGTGGTCAGACTCCTAGGAGATAGCCCGATACCGAGGCCCAGGAGACCCGAGTTCAAGTCCAGCTCTGTCATTTGACCTTTATATTTTCTGGCAGCTTTTGCCTCGTGGTGTCAGCTTCTTCTGTGTTACTCCTGAGGCAGCACTGTTACCCTCTTCAGCAGCGGTAGCCACGCCCCTTTGAAAGTCTCTGGCTCTTCACGCTAAGTGGTATACTACATTCACCTTCCTTGTGTATTTTCTTCTGGTTATCTATCCCTTGGGGGTTCACATCACCGGATGTACCACACGTGACCTCGTTCCTGGTGTACTCCCCTCTGGCTTCTCAGGTCCTCCATCATCTGCCTCCAGGGTCTGGGGATGGCTGTCTCATCAGCCAGGCATGTGCTGGGTGCTCAGTTTCTCCTTCTCTTTGTCCATAGTGCCCTGCCTGTCTCCCTGCCAACTCCTCTCAGGCCCTCCAACATGGCTCAAGCCCTTTCTTCCCAGCAGTGGACTCTTGCGGCTCCTTCTTCCAACTTGGGACACCTGGGAGAGCTCAGGGTGTTTTCCGATTGCTTGGGTGCCTCAGTCTGGAGTCCCAACTAGATTTGAAACTGCAACCAGAACAACACCATGCTTTTTCCGTGTTTTTCTTTCCCCTTCAGGACTGAGTTGAGAGAAGAAATGCCTGCATGTAGACATGGAATCCAATACCAACTTTGTAGATAGTTCCCCCAAAAAGGGTTTTTGCCCTGGCTGTGTGGCTCAGTTGGTTGGACCATCATCCTGTACACTGAAAGGTTGCAGGTTCGATCCCTGGTCAGTATGCCTATGGGTGGCAACTGATCGATGTTACTCTCTCACATAGATATTTCTCTCTCCTTTCCTCTGTCTCAAAAGTCTATGAAAATAACTCTGGCTGGTGCTGCTTGGCGGTGAGAGCATTGACGCACACACCGCAGGGTTGTGGGTACAATTTCTGGTGAAGGGCATGTAGCTGAGTTTCAGGTTAGATTCTCAGCCCTGGTCAGGGTGTGTGCAGGAGACAACCAACTGATATATGTCTCTCACATCGATGTTTCTCTCTCTCCCTCTCCCTCTCCTTCTCCCTCTCTCTCTCTCTCTCTTTTCTCCCTCCCTCTCCTCCCTTTCTCTCCCCCTTCTCTCCCTCCCTCTCTTCCACTCTCTATGAAAAAAATCAATGGAAAAATGACCTCGGGTGAGGATTAACAAAAAGAAATAATATTTAAACAAAAAAAATGAAAATATATTCTCTGGTGAGGATTAAAAAGAAAGGATTTCTAATACTACAGAAATAGGTTTCTTTCTGCCTTTCCTTATAATACCTCAGTATTAATCCCTTACAACAGATATTAATATTAAGAAAAAGCTCTAAATGTCCATAAAGAATTGTTATACAAAGACATCAGGTGGATTACACACAGATATTCAGTGTAAATGACTCAAGTCCAAAGCAAACTTTAATTTGCTGCTTACCAGTAAAATAAAAATGGCAGAATAACATAGAGTTTAGGTTTTAGATCCATGGTTTTTATATTGCTTTTCTAAGTATGTCTTCCTTCTTTCCATGCTCAAGTACAGTGACTCTCCTGCTGGTTGACGATGTTTTTTGTTGCTATGTATTTCTTTGGCGAGGTGTCCTGGGAGTGTTCCTTGGCCTTCTTGTCCAGTGGAAGCTAGTTCCCAGCTGCAGGAGCAGCCCGGACCCGCTGCATGTTTCTGGGTCACTGCTCCTGTGGTCTGGGTTCCTGAGCCGTGTCCAAGGCTGCTTGGGGAACTTGAGATGAACCGTGCCTTAGTTGTTGGCTTGGAGGGTCAGTGGATTGCACGGATGGCATTCCTGGGTAGGGAGCCCTGGTCTGATGGTCACTTCCGATGAGAGCTGAGTCTGCACAGGTTCCCTCCATTGGTGTTGGCCAGGAGTGTAGGTCCTGTGCAGCTTTAGAGTTCCTGCAGGCTGTTATTTGTGCTGTGTCAGATCAGAGGAGCCACAGTGGTCACCTAGTCCCAGGGAGAATACCAACCTTAGGCCTTCGCAGCTAGGCCCAAGCTGGGGAAAAGGGGCCTGGAGGCCTGACCAGATTCCCACGAGTGCTGTCCTCCATGCTGCCCCGCCTCCCTAGGCAGACCCTTCCCCTCTGTGGAGCAGCCCAAGATCTTCTCCAGTGTCCATCCGTGTACCTGGGCCTCGGATTTCTTTTCTGTAGAATGGGTCCAGCACGGTGAACATCTGAGTGCTGTGAAAGCAAGGGGGTGACTGTTTTAGGAGGTTGGCCCCCTATTCTCTGTTTCCTAGTCTCTATATGAGGGGAGGCGCAGCAGCTTATGGGTTTCCCAGTGCCCACCTTCACAGCCTGGATCCCTGTGTTCTCTCTCAGCCGCATCAACGAGAAGTCCGTCTGGTGCTGTGGCTGGCTTCCCTGCACACCGCTGCGCATCGCGGCCACTGCTGGCCATGGGAACTGTGTGGACTTCCTCATCCGGAAGGGGGCCGAGGTGGACCTCGTGGATGTGAAGGGACAGACGGCCCTATATGTGGCCGTGGTGAATGGACACCTGGAGAGTGCCCAGATCCTGCTTGAAGCCGGGGCTGACCCCAATGGAAGCCGGCACCATCGCAGCACCCCGGTCTACCACGCCTCTCGCGTGGGCAGGGCCGACATACTGCAGGCCCTCATCAGGTCAGTACTGCCAGGCCTGGCCCCCATGGCCTCTGATGGCCATCATGGGGAGCTGCAGCCATGGTCTCCTTGTTTTTCATTTTTGCTCCTCTCTCTCTCTCTCTCTCTCTCTCAAATTAGACTTGTTAGAGGATTTGTCTATTTTGTTAATCTTTTTAAAGAGTTTCTTCTTACCTGTATCAGTTCTCTTATTTTTTTTACTGATTAATTGCCATTTTTAATTTCTGTTTTCTATAACTTTTGAGTTACATGCGTATTCACTTTTTTCTTGATTAATAATGTAAATATTTGCCTATAGCTTTGGCAATTCCACTAGGCTTTTTCCTCATTTTTTAAATGCAGTTGAAGTTGAGGTCTTTAAAAAAAATATATATATATTTTTATTGATTTCAGAGAGGAAGGGAGAAGGAGAGAGAGATAGAAACATCAATGATGAGAGAGAATCATTGATTGTCTACCTCTTGCACGCCCCCTCCTGGGGATCCAGCTCCGCAACCTGGGCATGTGCCCTGACTGGGAATATAACCATGACTTCCTGGTTCAATGCTCAACCACTGAGCCACACTGGCCCGGCAAGTTTAGTTCTTCTTTGTCCTTATATTTATAGAGAAGAAAGTTTTGTGCCTATTGTGCTCAGATAATATGGCCCATCTAATTTCCATTTTGGGGATTCTTTGAATTAAATATCTTTTTTTAAATGTTAGACTACATTGTTGTGGGTGCTTGTACCAAAGTATATGACCATGGGTGTTTTGTTTGCATAGTACAATATAGTTGCCTCAATTATGTGATTCAGAGTTCCTCTCTCTGTTCTTACATTTTTAACCAAATTTAGAGACACTGTTACTGTCTAGTCACTGTTGTGATTTGTTTCCCCTGTATAGATTTGTTTCCCCTAGTAGTTTTTGCTTTCTGTATTTTGATGCTAATTGAGTTCATAAAAGTTCTTATTTATTGGTTATGCCCATTATCAACACAAAAGTTTTTTTAATGAAAAACCTATTAGTTTCATTGAAGGCTCCTTTACTCAGCACTCTGTAACTGTGAGCTTTAATCTTTTCAGGTTAATCTTGGTGTTCACCTTTCTATTTGACTGTCTGGAGTTCTTTGTTTTTAGTACAGTTAACATGATTGCTGGAGCTGCTGTTAGGTCTGTTTCTTAACTGTTCTTCAACTCATGTCTTTGTTCCATGATCTATGCTTTCTTTGCTTTCTCTTTCTAGCATTTAGATGGTTTGTGGTCTTATTTTAATTACACTGGTGGTTACTTTTTTTCCTTACTTGAATCAGGTTGCATTTTCATTTTCCATATCTCTAGTGCCTTACTCAGGAGGCAGCTCCTCTGTGGTTGACTGAGTGCAGTATAGGTAGCCGGTTCTCAGAGTCAAAGGACTAGGTAAGGTTCTGTTGGTACAGGTTGCAGTGGGGTGGCTCGAGGAGAGGGACCTGACACTCCCCTCACCCAGCACAGAACATGGTTTTGAAATCAGGTTTTGAAATATATTTATTCCATTCTGTACTAAATGGCTATGAAATTGACCTTTGGGAAGGAAAATGGGATGCGATGGCTGTGATGTTGAGGGTGATAGAGCAGTGATGCCTTTTCTCCTCCTTTTCCAGGCTTTCTGGCCTGATAAGCTAAGCCCTGTATTTTTGCATCTTGGAGAACATAAGCCATTGATTTGGAAATGTTTTTGAGTAGGATCAATCAGTGAAGTTTCATCTTGGCCCCTGAGATCCCTCTGGGCACTTCCGTCGTCCTGATGCACGGCTGCTTTGAATTAAGTGCAGGCCTGGCTTTGGGAGAGGCGCTTGCAGTGCCCTGTGGAGAAAGGTCATTAAGGCATCTGGTTCTCTCCTGGAGCACGGACGCTGCTTTCACAGCGAGGTCCCCAGAACACGTACTACCCTATTGAAAGTTTGTATGTTCTAAGTGATGAGGTCAGTGACTTGGGAAATGGGGTGATGTGGTTGGTTCCTGATGGACAATCCGACCTGAGCATTCCTGCCTTCCCACCATTTCCCAGGCCGGGCTTTCTTCTGCACTGTTAGTTGTGTCCTCTGGAGGTAAGCCTCCGTTCCATTACTGTGTATGTTGCTGATACATACGTTGTTTTTTAGCAAAGGTAAGGAGTGGTATTTCTCCGTGTGCACGTTATGTTGATTTATTGAGTTGTCCCAGGGGTTCCTTGCCAGTGATATTAAAAGCAGTAGGGAATTTTGGAAAATATTCAGGATTAAAATGAACTGGCTCTCATCCAGTATATTTTTATGAGTGGATGCAGGGCTGTCTTTCCCATAGCTCAGCTAATACCAGATTGTCATATTGCCCAAAATTACAAACATTTTGGAAAACAAATCCCTGAGAATGAGCGGGGGGGAAATCAATGCTTGAAACCTAGTTCTCCTTTTCTTAATTGATTGTGTGAAATGAAATAGAGTTTCTGCATGGTTTGGTGTGTGTTTTAGAATGTATTCCTTCTCCCTTCTAGGATGTCTGGGAGAGTGATGTTTGCACTTGTCGTGTCTGATGATGCCACACGGTGGCGTCAGTGGGAGGCCTATGTGCCGTCTTTACAGGCCAGTGCTGCTGGAGTGGCAGTGCAGGTTCCACAGGACACTGGGACAGAGCACAAGTTTGGGCCAGCCATTTTGGGGAATGCATGGAAACAGTGCTGTTCCCTCTGCCCCCTTGTCATACTGCCTACAAACTCCCATTTCTTAATTCAGATTAAGTGTGTGATGGCAAAGCTTGGGAGGCACAGCAGGACTGGCTCAAGGCCACAGGTGCCGGCTGTCTGGTGCTTACTCAATTAGAGTAGGTACTGCATCTCGGTCAGGACCCCTGGAAGTGAGGCTGCGCTTCCCACTGCATTCTGTGAGGCTGCATGTGATTCCAGTTGTTATTGATACTGCTGACGTCACGGTAACTTTGTGGTTAACGTGGCATTTGCCAGGTTGTTCTTTTTCCCTCTGTAATTAATTAATTTGTGGAGAGGTATACTTTGCAAACATGCATATCTCTATTCCTCATCAGATTTTTAATTCATTTATTTATGTCAGACTCATGGTTTCCTGTATTACCCACTGAGTTATTATTTAATTATGTTGTTAATTATTTTGGTGCTTTAATTGTGTCAGATTTGTCTTCGGGACCCCCAGCCAGCCATCTCTATCTTTGGACACATCCCCATCTTTGGGCAGTTCCCCACTTTCTCACATAACAACTATGCTAGGCTCATCTTGTGCTTTCTGTCTCAGCCCTGGAATTTGAGTCCTGGTTTCTTTGAGTGGAGAATGTGTTTAGGAACCAAGATCAGACACAAGGAGTGCTTATGGCGTGTGGTGTTACTGATTCCAGGCCCTCCTACTGTGCAGTCACTCATACATTCGATCTGTGTTTCTCTGTCTGTGAACATCACCAGGTGGGTGCTCACGTGGGTGCCTCCAGCTTCTCTTTTCCAGTCAGAGAGACCTGGTTTGGGGAATATTGTTTTGGTGATTTCATAGGATAAATTTGGAAGTTTTCCTTTGTTTAATAGTTTAGCTGTGGAATTGTTGGATCTTGGAAGATTTGAGAGAATTTTCTTACGAATTTGTGAGTGGGTTTCAGGTTCCTAACTACTGCTTACTTGCTGGAAGTAATGAGACTGATGTGAACTGTGGCATCTCCAGGGATCCCCACTGCTCATGGGGTTCAGGCCCATCTTCTTAGGGTGCGTGGGAATCTGTTGACACCATTAGTCCCCTGCAGAGTCTGATCATCCTTGTGTCTCCCCTGTAGGTACGGGGCCGACGTCGACATCAATCACCACATTCTTCCTGACATCCGGCCGCCCTTTTCCCGGCGCCTCACCTCCTTGGTTGTCTGCCCTTTGTATATTAGCGCAGCCTACCACAACCTCCAGTGCTTCAAGCTTCTGCTCCAGGCAGGGGCGAACCCCGACTTCAACTGCAACGGGCCTGTCAACACGCAGGGTTTCTGTAGGGGCTCCCCCGGGTGCGTCATGGATGCTGTCCTGCGTCATGGCTGCGAGGCGGCCTTTGTGAGTCTGCTCGTGGAGTTTGGAGCCAACCTGAACCTGGTGAAGTGGGAGTCCCTGGGCCCAGAGTCCAGGGGCAGAAGGAAGGTGGACCCCGAGGCCCTGCAGGTCTTTAAAGAGGCAAGAAGTAAGCGGCCCAAATTCAGCTCTGACTTGCTGTCTGTTTGAATGAACCAAGTTGTAGCCATTTAAAAATACCTCCAACTAAGCGCATGGTTAGAATCTTTGGTTAGGGCTAGGACTTTTCCAGAATGGTCTTCCAGATTGGTCTTCTCTTTAGAATTTGTAGATACCAAGAGCTGATACCAGGGAATCTATAAAAGTACATATTCTCAAAGCTCCTAAAATTATACATTTTTCCCTTTTTGCTCTGTTTTGTGACACCAAATTCTTTCACTTCTATTTAATTTTTATAAGACATCTTTTTTAAATCCTCACCCGAGGATATATATTCTATTGATTTTTTTGAGAGTGGAAAGGAGGGGGAGAGATACAGAGAGAGAAACATCAGTGTGAGAGAGACACATCAATTGTTGCTTCCTGCACACGCCCTGCCTGGGGCTGGGGATTGAGCCTGTAACCCAGGTATGTGCTCTTGACCAGAATCAAACTTGAGACACTTCAGTCCCCGGGTTGACGCTCTAAACACTGAGCAAACCAGCTAGGGATCTAATTTGATTTTTAATTGCTTGCCTTGAACAAATTATAAGCCCATCTATTAGTGTTTCCCATTTCTCTTTCTTTGGTTTGGGATTGTGTGATAAGTCTAACTTCTGTTAGAATAAGTCCATCATTTGCTTATTTGTGCACAAAGATTTTGCCAATGCATTAACATGTTGACAGCCAGAGTCTGCAGTTGATGGGGCTGGGTCTTGTCAGAGGCTCTCTGGGGCTTGGAATTTATTTTAAGTGTCCTGTGCAGGCCACTGTGCCCTCTGACCTGCCCAGGCCCAGCCTCATTGCTGCCCGAGTCCTGGGCATCTGGCTCTCACCTCGTACAAACTTGAGTTTGTTGTATTTGGTTGTTGGGTTCCCTGCAGCTGTCACTGATACGTGCTCCTATGGGCCTTCGGGAGACCTGGTGGTTAGAGCTGTTCTGATAGAATTAAGCTGCCTATCTATGTTCATGCCTGTTGCCCAGGTCAGAGACACCGCTAGGCTTTTTTTCACCCGGAGCAAAATTGTCAGCCTGTCCTAGCCCGCTCTCCCAGACTCCTGGGAGGCTTCTGGATTGACCCAGAGCAAACCCTGACAGAGGGTGGGGCAGTGTCTACACCTGCAGGGCTTTCAGTGGTCAGCTCTGACTTCTCTGTGGAGGGAATTGAACACAGTTGAGGAGATGCTGTCAGCCAGCAGGTGCCCCAGGTAATGAGGATTTCCCTGCTTTTGCAGACAGAAGGAGCAGGTAGCAAGGCCTTTTTCACCATGGCTCATGCTCCTAGCTCTAACATTGGGAAGTTGGCAGTGACGATCTGTGCCTGTCCGTCATAACCAGCCTTGGCTCCTCAGAGTTAGGAGAGGAATTAATTTCTCCTTTTTCTCTCCATTCCTTCCCGTGGCCTCCCAGGTGTCCCCAGGGCTTTGCTGAATCTGTGCCGTGTGGCCGTGAGAAGAGCTCTTGGCAAGTACCGACTCCATCTGATTCCCTCGCTGCCGCTGCCAGACCCCATAAAAAGGTTCCTGCTGTACGAGTAAAGGCAGTGCAGCGGCGGTTTGCAGCGCGGAAGGCGGTGATCTGCGGGGAAGCTGGACCTGCTTCTTGCTCCTGTGAGCCCATCCTGTGCCGACAGATCACATTTGGCTGTTGCTAGGCAGACGGCCTTTTTCTTCTGGGTTGTAATTCCATCTCAGGTCTTGGACATCGGACAGTCTCTGGGTCATTATCAGCTGAGAGGCTCATACAGAACTTGATGTTATTCTTCCTCAGTGTCTGTTTTGGATTTTCCCAGCTGCAGATGGATGAGTGGGCCTGGAAGTGTGTGCAGGTGCAGGCTGTGGTTGGAGAACTCGGCACTTTCCAGAGCTGTGCTTCTGTCTGTGGTTTTACTTCTCAATTTGTTTGATTCATCCTTCTGATACCAAATGGAAAGGGAGTTTTTGGTAAAAAAGTAGAGTGCAGAAACACAGTTCATGAACTTGCTGGTTGTCCCTTGCTTCTGGGGTTGACATGTGACACATGTCGTACATACATCCCTTCCTTGCCAGTTCAGTGTTCTCTCCTTGGGGTGGGGAGTCCTACTGTCTTCAGTCAAGGCTGGTTTCCTGGCTGCAAGGATTGGCGGTGTTATCTCAAAGTCAGTGCCTGCGTTTGCTTGCAATCATAAGAGAGAGCATCTGCATTCCCCAGCGCTATACCTGTTCTGGTACTCGACTGCTTGGCATCATGCCACAGGTCCCGAGTTTTCTGCCATTTCATTCTGGGGAACTTGCAGACATCATTTGGACCAAGGCCTGCCCAGCAGCATCCACTGCCAGGTGCGGTGGGAAAAGAGACCTGCAGCGCTGCCTCTCTCCTAGTCCCTGCACACACCAGCGTGGCACCCACCTGTCCTTGGTGCGGCCAGGCTGTCAGCTGTGGTGTCCTGTGGACAAACACCTGTGGTTGGTAATTGCTCCTCTCTGTTTGGGACCTGATGTCTTGGTGGTATTCCTAGAACCTAAGCGGATAGTGGTGAGGTCAGGTCTCCCCCTGGCCTGCTGAGGGCGTGGTAGGTGGGAGAGATGAGTGGGTTGGCACACCTGGGCTCTAAAGGAGGAGTTTCAGGAGTGGTGCTCAGCTCACCTTGGAGTTTTCCAATCCTGGGTCCCCTTCTGCTGCTCGCTTGGCTCAGGCGTTCTCCTGTGAGCCATGTTGCAGAGTTACGTGCTCTGTGCTGCCCTGCTGAGTGCTGTCTGCAGGGCCTGTTGAGGACACAGCGCCTAGCGCTGTCCTGGAGAGGGTCGTGGTGTTCGGGGCTTTCTGGACAGCAGCCCCTGGGATTGCTGCCAGCCCACGAGCCCCCCATGTGTAGGCGCGACCTTCTGGCTGCACAGGGCCAGGCCTCACCTCTTCCTTTCCAGAGGACAGGATGCTCCCTGGGTTCAGCCGTTGTCTAGTGAGTTTTTTCAGAATCCCTACAATTTGGAGGTCAGCCTGCCTGAAACTTTATAGCTGCCAAACGTGTGAACAGTCAGCTGCTTAAGGCCCCTTTGTTGTTCAAAGTGACACTTTATAAAGCTCCTGGTCTTTTGTTGGCAATGGTGGGCCAAAGCATAGGAACAGAGCACTTTATACAACCATGTTTCTAAGCCCTGGGCTCGAAGAGCTGAGGCTGCTGCCTGGCTGGCCCGAGCCTTCCCCAGGAAAGGGCACCGGCAGCCGATGGAAGGAGCCGAGCACCCCCAGCCTAGTCCGCGGCGCCTCTGACTGTCTCCATAGTCCTGAGCTCTGGGCCTTGGCTGCTGGGGACAGATGGGCTGGGGTGGGCATGGGTGGGGGCAGTGTTGATAACTCTGAGAATTCAGCTTTGGCACCCTGGGTGGGGTGTGGAATGTATCTCCCAAACCCACCTGTGTCACGTTTGTGCCTTTTCATGTTGTTTATTTATTTATATATTTATTTATTTATACCTGGCTTTATTCCGGAAAAGCGTTTAAGGCAGAGATACTTTAGTTTTGATGTTTGGTTCTGAAATTGGATAAGTTTTAGTTAGTGTGTACTTGTTAAACAGATACTTTTTTGAAGAAAGGACAATTGACAGTTTCCTAATGTAGAATATGTCTGTTATCAGGCCTAAGTGCCATCACTTTAAGTTTTTTGCATCTTCCACGACTTGATTCTTCAAATGAATGTTTCATGCAGAAGTAGGAAGAGGAACAGCAAGCACAGGACTGAGCAGGGGAGGCCCTGTCCCAGAGAAGCAACTGTGCCTGGGCAGGCCCGTGGGCAGGGCGGCTGCGCTTAGCGAGGCTGTGCCTTCCCGCAGGGCTCACAGGAGAATGTACAGGAGGCACATTGTGCAGCAGTCCCTGTCAGCTGCTGTCCTGGTGACTGTCCCTCCCTCGTGAGTGATGGTGCAGATGCCGTAAGGGTCTGGGACCTTGGGATCGGGCTTGACGGTGTGTCCCCTGGGGCAGTGAGAGTCCTGGGGTCCACAGCTAGGTCTTGGGCACAGCAGGCTCTGTGCAGGTCGGAAGTATAACTTAGAAAGTCCAGTTTAGTAAACCCAGAGGGTTGTCTTTTATTTTGAGATTATGTTCTTAATTTGGGTGATAAAATGTCCTTTATTGAAGGTGGTAAGAGAGGGCAATTTTTAAAAAAATCTTGGTTGCAAAACAAATTGTTTGCTGCCTTTTGTCAAGCTACAGAATTTCTCGTTTGTCCATCTCTGAAGTCCCAAAGTTGGGGACCCACAGTTCAGCTGTAGTGTGTTTACACAGCGGTGACAAAGTCCTCTTGGATCCTGGAAGTGGTCTGTGCGCTGTTGAAGGACAGTGTCATGTGGCTGTTGCCTCATCCAGGAACGAGCTCTGAGGTCCTGTATGGCATAGTTGGAAGTGCATGCTACATCCTGGTGATGACAGGGCCAGTGTCCCTGCAGTGGTGGCCCTCTGGCCACTCCCGAGTCCACAGAGACTCTCCTCTGTATCTTGTGCAGACTCGATTCTATCTGCTCTAGGCGATAATAGGATGGAGAAGTGAGGTGGGGAGGAGTGACTTCCGTTGCTTTAGAATATAATTGCTCAGTTTCTGGAATGCGTAGGTATCCTTTCTTTTTAAGTTGCTTTGTTTTCGGATTCCTACCAAGTAATGTACGAATGTGCATAAGTCCGGTCTAAGTGTGGTGTTTATGGACACCACTCTCTGGTGTATAAAACCACAGTGTGCTGCTGCAGTTCAGCCAGCAGAGTCCTCTGTCTGGTGTGTGCACAGCTCCTGTGTGCCGGGACATGCACAGATAAGGACCGTCCTGAGCACAGCGTCCCCTCAGCTTTGTGATGAGTGTGTTTGACCACAGTGGCTGGGACCCACTGCTCTTGCACTTGTACCTGGTTAAGAGCTTTCAAAACTACAATGGACATCTTTCTATGTTACTGTAAATTAATAAATGCTTTATTCCCCTATAATTCCTCCAAGTGTCTTAATTTTTTGGACCATTTGTCTCATGAGATTGGTCGTGTGAAATCTTTGTGTCCGAAGTTCAGGGGGGAAGTAGTTGTCTCTCTGGAAAGTTTCTGACGATTGCAGAGAAGGACTTGTCTAAGCAGGGGTTGCAAATGGCCCTCAGGGTTGATGCACAGCTTTCCACTGCTGGACGGGCCTATTTTACTTAGTGGGTTTCTGGTTGGAAGAATGTTTGAAACGTTTTCAAGTGAGGCTTCTGCCCCTGCAGTGTTTGATGGGGGAGGGGGAGGTGGAGACCACGGGCGAGAGCCTTGTTTCTGGGTCCTGTTACATGTGATTTTTAAAAAATTTTAATTCTTACCAGAGGATACTTTTTCCATTGATTTTCAGAGAGAGGGGAGAGGCGAGAGAGAGATACATCTATTGGTTGCCTCCCCGATGGGCTGAGGATCAAACCTACAATCGAGGTACATGCCCTTGACTGGGAATTGAAGGAACTGAACCCGTGATCCTGCTGGCCTACATTCTAACCAATGAGAAAAACTGACCTGGGCCATGTGGCTCATTTAAAAAAAAATTATTTTTTAGATTGATTTCAGTGAGAAAGGGAGAGGGATGAAGAGATAGAGACATCAATGATGAGAGAGAATCATTAATCGGCTGTCTCCTGCATGCTACCTCCTGGGGACTGAGCCACAACTCAGGCATGTGCCCTGACCTCCTGGTTCATAGGTCAACAACCACTGAGCATACCAGCTGGGCCCATGTGGTCATTTTGACAGGAGAGTGATGGTGGGAGGTGAGGTGTAAAGCTTTGGGAGGAACCCAGGAACGAATGAGTTAAAGACAGATGTATGTCCCCTGAAGTCCTGAATCCAGTAAGCAAGTGTCATTGACTAGAAGCCCTACAGGGGCCATGTGGGAGCCATAATTGGTGCAGAAACACCAGGGAATAGGGGAGACTGCCACTAAGTTAGGGGGATGTGCCTCCTCGGGATGGGCATTCACAGGTGTCCCAGTAACTGGCTCTGCAAGATGCAACTGCTCTGAAATTCCCTGGCTCTGCAGCCCTGTGTTTCCTGTGGCCATCTCCCTGCCAGCAAACCAAATCCTGTGGTGGCTGCAGCCACTCTGGCAGGGAAGCTCATTGGGCTGCCTGGGCTGCTGGGCCAAGGCTGGCGGGCTGGGAGCCCCCTGGTGCACTGAGGCAGGGCCACCGGGTTCCTCTTCCAGGGAAACCAGCCTCCCCTTTCATAGCCTCTGGGCCTATGAATTACAGTGGGTCTCTGAACGGGCTGAAGAGCAGTCACTAGCTACAGTTTTAACTCAGGTTTTTCTCCTGTACCTGAAGTTTTCTTCCTGCTTGATTTTGATGACCGGTCCACATCTGCTGTCTTTCACAGCAGATGTACACCCTCCCACTCCCCATCCCCTGCCTGTGGAGGTCAAGTCCTGCCATTTGGCCTCAGCTTCTCTGAATCCCATCTTCTTCCCTGGAACCAACCAGCCCGTCTCCATAGCAGCATCCCCACCATCACATCTGCCCGACGAGGGAGCAGTCCCAGAGCTTCTCAAGGATGCGAGCGCACATCTTGCCATGTTTCTCATGCCTTAGTGACGGGAGTGCTTCTGGGGAAGTGGGCGGTGGTCACCTTGATGAACCCAGCCCCACATTCCTGTCTCCTACGCCTTGGCTCCCCTCCTCCAGTCCAGGAAGCTCTGCACCTCAGCCTCATTAAACATAGGTTTCTCTTTAGTTTAAGTTTCAGTTAAGTAAACTTGCTGTTTACCGCTGAATGTAACCTCCAGCTCCTGTTACATTCCTCACTCCTCACTCTGACCCCTCAGAACTCACCTCCATCTGCTTCCATGTTCCTGCTGATACGTGTGAGGGAAGGCTGGCTCAGATGAGCTGTTTCTTAGGGGCACAGGCACCCTATGCCCTGGGGCACTCTGGGATTTGCCCTGGTTTTGTGTCTGGCGGCAGAGTGGTAGTGTTGACAGTCCCTGGTGAGTGACAGCATCTTCAACATCCCCACTCTTGTCTGTGATGCCAAAACCAAACTTAGGGAAGACTCACAGGAGTGGGGCAGTTGCATTTACTCTCGTGTCAGAGCGTGGGTGGGAGCGAAATCCCTTTGTCATGAGTTCGGGAACAACGAAAGTGTGGGGATCAGCACGCCACAGTGTCATTGCCCATGTGTCTGGTTTGACTAGAAACAATGAACGCTTTTTTCCAAAGGCCCTTAAAGTCAACTTTACAGGCCATCAGCTCTGACACTGACCCACCATTGGGCATCTTGGGGATGGGCTCTGGGGAGGACTGCCATCCCGTCCTGGGCTGGGCCCTGACTTGTCACGTGCTGGCCCAAAAAGGTGAATGGAGGACTGTGGATGGAGGCTGAGCCTCCCGGGAGCTCTGTGCTGTCTTCTGACATCACAGGAGTCCAGTAGAGAAGGCGCTGGCCACTGGTGCAACAACAAAGCGCAAATTGGCATTTGAACACAAGTACTTCCGGTACTTTGCTAAGAAGAATCTTTTCTCTTCAAATCCTCACCTGAGGATATTTTTCTATTGATTTTTAGAGAGTAGAGGGAGTCAGAGAGAAACATTGGTGTGAGAGAGAGACACCAATTGATTGCTTTCCCACACGTCCTGACCAGGACTAGGGATTGAGCCTGCAACCAAGATACATGTCCTTCACCAAAATGAACCTGGGGTTCTTCGGTCCAGAGGCCAATACTCTTTCCATTGAGCCAAACTGGCTTTGCCTGGGGAGAGGGATCTTTGAGACCCTCTGCTTAAGAAAGTTAAAGGACCAAGAACCACCACAGGACGAGGAGTGGAGCTGCCCAGATGAAAGAGATTCTGACGAGGAGGTCTTGTCCCCTAACCCACCCCCGGAAGTGGGTGTCTGTTGGCCTGGCAGAGCTGGGTGTGTGGCCACGTCCTCCATTCACCTCAGCAGTGTGCTGTACCCTGTGCAGCTCCAGGAAAAGGACAGTCTTCCAGAGCCACAGGGACATTGGCCCCGGGCACCTGTCCTCTGGTGGAGGAACGCCCAGCAAGTACTATGCAGGTGCTTTTACTTGGGGCAAGAAAGGGCGTTTCTGAGCCATCAGCCTCAGACTTGCTCACAGCTCTGCAGGAGGCACTGGCCCAGCTCCAGCAGGGGAGGAGGCTGGAAGGAGCCAAGCAGTGTGTGGCCCTGGGGGAACGACACCTTTAGCTCCACCAGCCACTCTGTTCAATCTAAGGAACTGGGAAATCTCAACAGCAAATAAACCTGCTCCACCTGCAGCGAGCCATCCCTTAGCACACAGAAGCAGACCTGCAGACAGACTCCAGCCCATGTGGGACAGAAGTCCCCGGACTGTGGGCGCCCTCTGGTGGTTGGCTGATTTGGGGGACCCACTGTTCAAATGCAAAAGGTGGCATTTCAGGGTGAATCCTGCCTGTACTTTTTTTTTTTTTTTTTTTTTTTTTTTTTCCATTTTCCATTTTCTAATTTTTATTTTTTCAGTTACAGTTTACTCTCTGTTATTTGTATTGGTTTCAGGTGTACAGCATAGTGGTTAACAATCATATACTTCCTCCTGATATTTCCAGTACTCACCTGGCACCATACATAATTATTACATACTAGAAGCCTGGTGCACAAAATGTGTGCATGGGTAGGATCCCTCAGTCTGGCCAGTGATCAAGGGCCTTCCAGTTGCTGGCTGGGGCCTTCCTTCCCTTCATTCCACACTGCCTTCATTCCACACTGCCTTCATTCCACACTGCCCCTTGGTGATCAGCGCATGTCATAGCGAACAAACTCCGGAGGATACAATTTGCATATTAGCCTTTTATTATATAAGATCATATAGGATTATTGACTGTATTATTTATATCCCCATAACTGTTTTATAACTATCAATCTGTACTTCTTAACCTGTTAACCGGGAAGTTCCCTTTTTAATTACCGTATTTTCCGGCGTATAAGACGACCCCCCACTTCCGAGGCAACACCAGTTCTTTTTTTAATAGACTGCCTCTCTGACTCTGGCCAATCTGAGCAGGCTTTTTACTAGAACACAGTGTCGTCTTATACGCCGGAAAATATGGTACACAACGTATAACGGGTGCATACTCTTTCACTAGGACGTGTCAGTACGTCACGCCCAGTGGACGTAATTTTATATTATTATTTTTTTATTTATACTTAATTAAAATAAATGAAATATATATTTTTCATTTATATATATTTTTTCATTTATTTATATATAAAGCACAACGGAAAACAAAATTACAAACAAATAGAAAAGAATACCTACAAAAAAATGGAAACATCGAATTAAAAATTATAAATTTTATAAACAATTATAAAGATTACAAAAAATATGTATTTTTTATTTCTATACACAATAAAAATATAAAAAAGTTAATTACAGAACAATAAACAAAAGCACACAAATAAAATAGAAATATTGAGTTTAAAAAATTGAAATATAGAAGTAAAAATTCAAAACTCAACTTCCGTGTGATATATTTTAAAACAATTGTTGATACATAGTGCTACCTTACAATCCGGACACCAGTATGTAGATTCTTTCCTAACACCTTTTTTGTAGCAAACTCTGCATTTCCTGGATTTAGTTTTTCCTATATCGCTTTTCATTTGTTCTGGAAAATGCCTTTCAACTAAGCGTGATGGTTTAGATGTAGAGCAGCTTGTTGATGTCTTTGGGTGGGTTTTCACTATGTTGTTATCTACCAATTTCTCTACACACTCTATCAAAAAGTGTCATCAATCCAAATGACCTTTATCTTTTTTGTATATAATATATGCATTGAAGCAGCACATATCAATTAATCGTAGAAAAAATTTTTAATAATTTTTTTTTACCCTATTACAGGCAGTTAACAGGTAGCCGTGTTAACCTGCTCGGTTAACAAGCAGCCGTGTAGGCCACCATAACTCCATCTCCCAAATCTATGCCGCCCATATTCTTG